ATAAAGTGGTGCTGTTCCCTAAACATGAGCGCAGGCACACACCCTCCTTTATATACCGGCTAAGGGGCCCGACTCCTGATCATCCTCCTGAGGATTTGGGGCAAAGCACCTCCCTGGGCATGAAACATGAATTTCTCTCTTTGTCCAGAGATTCTTCCCTTTGTCTTCCTCATTCTGCACCCTTTGCTGTTTGGTACCCCACCCTGGTTTGCCATAGAACTAACCAACATCCGAGAAGTCCCCATTTTATCACGAGTGTGTGTACCATCTGCACAGGTGCGTTGTTGTTGTTGTTGTTTTTAGTTTATTTCTGTGAGGCTCTAGCCAGGACCCTTCCCTGAAGGTATCATTATAGAACTACACAGTCTTGGAATTTTTCAACATTTACTCTCCTTGGATGTGAACTCTGCAAAGTGCCTGCTTCCACAGTTGCTACACCCAAGTGGCTCTTCTCTATGTCACCCTGTGGAGTGGAGAAGAGGGACAGAGAGGCTAAGCCAGGTATTATATGAGGACCCCTGAGCTTTTGAGAGAATACATTTGCCATCTGAAAATCAATGCTTTCTAGGGAGATTTCAGTGTGGATTAGAAATAAGTGGCAGGAGTCCCCCACTGTCCTCCTGATTGCTGGGATCCAGGGAGAGGAGCAGATGGCATTGTGTTGTGAGCCCCTGAGGGTGGAGACACTGTCTTAGGGTGTTGTCTTCTTAGCTCATTCATCTCCATCAGGAGGGAGCTAAATGACCAGGAATTCCTGGGGTCCCCACCAAGTCCCAAAATGCTACTGAGTGAGAGGTAGCTTTCCACTGCAAGTGACAGAGTGCACCTGTCGGAGCTCGTCTCCCTAGCATGGAGCTCCTGAGGCAGGGCTCGTAACTCCACGCACAGCGAGGCCAGACTTCCCGGTCTTCTGTCCATGATGCTAGGTCTTTTTCTTTTTTAAGATTTTATTTATTTATTTATTTATTTATTTGAAGGGCAGAGTTACAGAGAAGCAGAGAGAGAGAGAGAGATCTTCCATCCAGTGGTTACTCCCCAGATGGCTGCAATGGTCGGAGCTGTGCCACTCCGAAGCCAGGAGCCAAGAGCTTCTTCTGGGTCTCCTACACGGGTGCAGGGGCACAAGGACTTTGGCCATCTTCTACTGCTTTCCCACACCATAGCAGAGAGCTGGATGGGAAGTGGAGCAGCTGGGACTTGAACCAGTGTCCATATGGGATGCCGGCACTGCAGGCAGCGGCTTAACCTGCTATGCCACAGCACCAGCCCCTGCTGTCAGGTCTTTTTTTTTTTTTTTTTTTCAGGCAGAGTTAGACAGTGAGAGAGAGAGAGAGACAGAGAGAAAGGCCCTCCTTCCGTTGGTTCACCCCCCAAATGGCCGCCATGGCCAGCGTGCTGCACCGATCCGAAGCCAGAAGCCAGGTGGTCTCCCATGCGGGTGCAGGGCCCAAGGACTTGGGGGGCCATCCTCCACTGCACTCCCGGGCCACAGCAGAGAGCTGGACTGGAAGAGGAGCAACCAGGACAGAATCCGGTGCCCCGACTGGGACTAGAACCCGGTGTGCCAGCGCCGCAGGCAGAGGATTAGCCTAGTGAGCTGCGGCGCCGGCCAGGTCTTCATCTTCATTCATTCTCCTGCCACATGCTTTGGAGGCAGGAAAGGCCGCTCCCTCTTTGTGTCTTTCCCACAAGCCCTCTGGAAGATGATTTCTCCATCTCACAGGACAGAACTCAATCCCGTGTGTACCCAAGAACAAGTGGTTGGGAAAGATCTTGCTATGGTAGTCTCCATCATGCTTCACCCCAGGACTGGGGAAGACGCTATCTTGGCTGAGAGCCAGAGAGCCAGGCTCGGCATTTCAGCCTTTGTCAAGAGGGAATGGCTGGGTGGCTGTACACTCAGCTGTTCATCACTTTAACTAAAACACCTTCAAGAAAACCCTTACAAAGGAAATGGTTTATTTTTGCCATGGCTTTAGAGGTTCACAGTCTGAGATTGGGGGCCCCATTGGATCATGAGTGTGGTGGTGGATGGTGAACTGTGTGTAGAAGGATCGCCTGGGGTGGGATGGGGAGCACCCCCTCTCCTCATAGAGACACTGTGCCCCGTCATGGGGCCTCCACCCCAGCAAGCTGATCCTGTCTGCTCACTTCCCAGAGGCCCAACTTCAGACACCATAATTGAAACAGGCCTCCACACTGTTGGTATCTTCAGTCCGTGAGTTAGGGGTCTAAGCATCAGCAGGAGTTAGGGAACCAAATCCTGTTCAGACTATAACAGTGATGACCAGCAATTTGGCTAACAGTCCTCTGTGGGGCTGGCACTGTGGTGTAACAGGTAAAGCTGCCCCCTGCAGTGCCGGCATTCCCATATGGGTGCCAGTTCAAGTCCGGGCTGCTCCACCTCCAATCCAGCTCTCTGCTATGACCTAGGAAAGCAGTACAAGATGGCCCAAGTCCTTGGGCCCCTGCACTCATCTGGAAGACCCGGAAGAAGCTCCTGGCTCCTGGCTTGGGATTGGTGCAGCTCCAGCTGTTGTGGCCAATTGGGGAGTAAACCAGTGGATGAAAGACCTCTCTATCTCGCTCTCTCCTCTCTCTGTGTAACTCTGACTTTAAAATAAATAAATAAATCTTTAAAAGAAAGAAAGAAAGAAAGGAAGGAAGAAAGAAAGAAAGAAAGAAAGGCTTGAGATAAAAAAAAAAAAGAGTCCTCTGTGAGAGTGCCAAAGGTGATGGGAAGTGCTATTTCTCTAGATCCTCACCATTTCCATCACTGAATCCCACTGTCTTTATTCCTCTTGTTTGGCCGTCAGCCCTTTTCTCTCTTGCCCTCAAACTTGCGTGGTGAGATAGTACTCTAGGGGCTCGGCCGGCTCAGGAGGGCTCAGTCCCCATGGATGCCCACCCTGTGTAGGTGAGAGAGGAGCAGGTGGGAGGATCGCACCTGGAAAGAGGGGATCCCAGGACAGCCATCCAAGGACCAGGGAATTCACGCCTTGGGAGTGCCCATCTGGCCCAGGTGTCGTGAGGCCTGGTGCCCTGCATAGGTGGATAGTGTGGCCACCATAGGAATGCTAGCAGTGGTCAGCTCTATCCCAGCATGGAGGCTGGAGAGAGCAACTGCCCAGCCTCACCACCTCGGCTCCATATCTGCAGGCATAAAGTTAATGAAGTGGATGGCAGGCACAGACATGCCGGCAGGTCGCTGCAACGCCCAAGTTTACAGCGCATGAGTAGCTGTAAGGGAATTCCTGTGTATGGCCGCTGAGGGCAGGATGAAAAACATCCCACCCTGTCCAGGCATTGGTTTCCTGTTGCAGCGGCAACAAAGGATCGCAAACTTAGTTTATTCTGTCCCAGTACTGGAGGTTGGAAGCCTGACACGGGTTCTGTGGGCAACAGTGCTGGCAGGGCTGTCTTCCTTTCTGGAGGCCCATGGGGGAACGTCCACTTCCACACTTGCTGGCTTCGGGGGGCTGCCCACTGCCATGTCTCACAGCCCCTTCCTTCATCTCCAGGGTTAGCAACCTGCGTCTCATTGAGCCCTGTTCTAGTGGTCGCATCTCTCTTTGAGTCTCTGTCTTCTGATTCCCTCTTCCACTTTTATGGATGCCAGGGATGACAATAGGCCCACCTGGATATGCTGGGAGGACCTATTTTAAGGACCACTGGTTATCAGCGTTAATTGCAGTTGCAACCTTCACCTCCCTTTGCTATGGAAGCTATCACAGGCACAGGTTCTGGCGAGGAGGCGTGGGCTTGGCTGAGGGCTGGCAGTGCGGGGGAGGGGGCGGTCTGTGATTCCTCTCGAGCTCAGCACACAGGGAGCTGCGGGAGGAGACCTGCTGTTCACTGGGCGTCCCCGTGTGCCAGGCAGGGCAGGGGCTCTGCGGGCTCTCTCGTTTCATCCCCCCACGCAGTCCCTAACTTGCAAGAGGCAATGCTGCCTTAGGAGGGTGGTGGTGATTACCCACAGTCACAGCGCCAGTATCTGTGGGGCTCGGGCCCCCTCATGCCGCCTTCTGTCGCCCCTGGCTCCCTCCCGAATGGCCCCGGGGACCACCCTGTGGACACGAGGAACAAAAGCCCAACGAGAAGTCACCTTATGAACTTGACACTAAGGAGGGTGACTTGAAATCGGGCTGAGCAGCGGCCAGCGGCAGTGACTCACCCGCGGCAGAGCCGGTGGGGGTCTGCAGCGGTGGGCCCGCGTTGTTCGCCAGAGGAGCGGCCTTGGGGTATTTTAGATGGAGCCCCGGGAGCCGCGGGGAAAGGGGACAAGAGTGACCGCGTGGGGGACGTCCGCGTGGAAGTGCCCGCTGAGCTCGCTGGTCCGAGAGGCTGGTGGGCGCACAGCGGGCGAGCGGGTGCTGCCCCCGGGCGGCGACACGCACCGAGGCCCGCTCCCTCCCAGACCCCGGCTCCTAACCCCGGCGGGGGGCCGCCGGCCACGACCCGGGCGCCTCGCGAAGACGCTTCCCGCGGTCCGGGGCGTCCCGGGCGCCTCCGGACAGCGGCGCGGCCCTCCCCGCGACACCGGCGCTGCCGCCCGAGGAAGCCGCTGAGCGCGGGCCCCTTTGTCCCGCACGGCCGGAGCCCTGCCGCGTGACCTCCGCGGACGCCGCCGGCCAAGGCCGCGTTTCTCCCGTTCCAGGCCTCAGTGCGGACTCTGTGCGGGCGGAGCGGTCCGGGGGAAGACCGAGCGAGTGCGAGCGGGAAAGGCTGTGGGTGCTCCATAGCGAAAGGGAGACTGCGCGGTACCGCCTGCTGCGTGTGTGTGTGCATATGTGCGCGTGTGTGTAGCCAGAGAATTAAACTATCCCAGAACAGTTTTCAACTGCTTTGCCTTTTCCCAGGTGTCCGTGGCCGCACTGCACAAGTCTGTGACGACTAACCGCCTTCCTCACGCACACAGTTGCCGTGCGTGGGGAGGGATCCGAGGCGCCGTGGGTCAGGTTTCCGGCCTCGTTAGCAACAGCGGTGCTGGCTTTAAAACGATGACGCAGGTGCTACCTGCGGCCACCAGGGGGCGCGCGGGCGCCACTGGAAAGCCCGCGGCTTCTCCCGCACCGCTGAAGGCCGGATCAGCCTTGGAGCCAGCACGGCTGTGACGCGGGGCATTCTGCTGCTAGCATTCGTCCGTAGAGTTCTTGGGGAAATGGCCGATGGCTCACGCTCACGTCGTGACTTGATCCAGCCTCTGCTGGTGCGTGTGCGCGCGTGGAATCCAAGCTGGGTCAGCCGACTGGTGTTTCGCGTAGATTCATGATACCCACGAGGAGCAGGCGTGTGTGCATGTGTGCTGGGGTGCACACGTGTCCTCTCCTATCAGCGTGGCTCCTGAGCGCCCCCTGGGCCGAGTGGCCACACTCAGCGCTGGCCCTGCGGGGCCTGCCCCAGCTCGGAGCTTGAACTTGGAAACTCCAAGTTAGAAAAAGCGTGCGTCGGAAATCCGGGGTCTAGGCAACGCTGACTTCAGGGCACCCAGGATCAGCCAGCGGGTGCAGAACAGGTCCCCAGCTTTTCCGCGTCTGCCCGCGCGGTCTGGCCGAGCGCTGTGCACCGGCCTTTGCGACGCGGACCTTGGGCGTGGGTGCTGCGGTGCGGGGCCACTTGGGGTGCGGCTCGTGTGGCTGAGCGGTGGGCGGGGAGAGCGCGCGCTTACTGCTGTTCTCACTCCCTCGGTGCCTGCCTGCGGGGCCGGGGCTGGGCCGGCTGAAGCTCGGACCGGGGACTCAGCCCAGGTTTCCCTCGTGGGCGACAGGCACCCACCTCCAGGGCCCCAGATCGGCCCTGCGGGAAGCCCCATCGGGAGCTGGAGGTGACACTCAGGCGTGGGCGCTCCTGTAGGCCCACGGGTGTCATTGACACCCAGCCCCCAGGCCCGCCGCCCGCCGCGGGGACTGAAGACCCAGTCCTAGGGGTTCACGGTGGCTGCCGGCTGCTGCGTGGGACAGCGCGGGTCCAAGCAGCCACACCTGGGCGGCGCGCGCTGCTGCCCCGAGTTTCCATTACGCCCCCCACCCTTCGGGGATTCAACCAAGATTGTAACTGGGAGAGGCAGCCCAACTCCTCGTCCCTAGGGGCACGGTCCCCCCGTGTGACCTGGCCGGAGGTGTCCGTCCCGGCGCCCGGGGCTCCGCCTGCGGCTCCCGCGCTCCAGGCCCGGCCCCGGCGGTCGGAGCGCTCGGGCAGCCTCGCATCCCAGGTCCGAGCCGCGCGGCCGCCTGCAGGCTCCTGTGAGCCCGAGGACTGGCTCAGGCGCGTCTGCCGCAGGCCGCAGCTCATCGCCGGGTTACCCCTGCTTACTCGATTTAGGTTCCTTTTCTGACTCTTGCTTTCTGTATCTTACGCTAATTGAAATTGGTCCATCCGCGTCGAGGGCAGATTCTCCACTGATAGCCTTCCGGCATGGGTCTCCATTTCACACAGCCCACCCCGCTCCGGGCTCCGCCCCCGCCACGAGCTCCGCCCCCGCCACGAGCTCCGCCCACGGCGCCCAACGGCCAGTGCTCGTGCTCCGCCCCCCCGCCGCGGACTCCGCCCCCCGCCACAAGCTCCGCCCACGGCACCCAACGGCCAGTGCTCGGGCTCCGCCCACGCCGCGCGTTGGCCAGAGGTCTGGCGAGGCCCCGAGGGTCCCGGGCGCCGCCGACGGCTACGACGCGGACTCAGGTGGGTCGGGGAGCCCACCGCCCGTGGAGGTGAGCAGCGGCTGAGGCTGACGAGAGGGCAGTGTGGCTGCGCCGGCCGCCCGCGGGGAGCGGGGTCAGGCGCGCGGCCGGCCGCTGCGAGGGAGGGGCCTCGCGGAGACGGTTGAGGCCAGCGCGAGGGTCCGGTGCAACCGACGGAATCCGAAGGAAGCGGAGACGGAGGCTGTTGGGCCGAGGGGCGGCCAGCGGCTGAGGGGCGAGCGGGAGTGGCAGACCCCGAGGTGAGGGCTCGGGACTCCTGGAAGCCGCGCCCCGCGGGAACGCAGACGGGAAGCGGAGGGGAGTGGGGCAGAGGGGAGGGGAGTGCAGCGGAGGGGAGTGGGGCAGAGGGGAGGGGAGTGCAGCGGAGGGGAGTGGGGCGAGGGGAGTGGATTGGGGCGAGGGGAGGGGAGAGGAGGGGAGGCTCTAGGCTTCAGCCGCAGGGCCGAGGGGTGCGCAGAGCAGGTGCCAGGGTCAGGCTGGGGAGGGCAGTCGCAGAGAGCAGGTGAACCGGTAAGTCGTCTGGCCTCGGTGGGCGAGGGAGGAGTTAGGACAGGGAAGTGTGGTCCTGAGAGAAAAACAGCCCTGGGGGTCTCATTGAGCATCCTTGGAAGCATCAGATCCCCCTGGGGCAGCGGCCTGGTCCTCAGGTTCCGGTTGATGGACAGTGGGTCCCTTGGAGACGCCAGGGCTGGTATTTGCCGCTGGTGTGCCTACAGGGCGGGGCAAGTACTGAGAAGTGAAGCTTGAGAAAGGTGGCGATTCTGAACAGAAAGATACCGTCCAGTTTCTTCTACCCAAAAAAAAAAAAAAAAGCCTCTGAGGTTCACGTGACCGGCGATTTCGCTCCCAGGTGTCTACTCAACTGAAGCCACCCAGCCACTCAAAAACTCCTACGTGGATGCGCACAGTGGCTTTATTCACAATAGCCAGAAAGTGGAGACAGCCCACGCGCCTCTCAGGTGAGGAGCAGAGGCTTAAACAAAACGTGGTCCCTTCACACAGAGGAGTACCACTCAGCCATGAAAAGGCACGACACATGGGTCTGTGCCGTGGTATGGTGAACCCTGACCTGCAGTGGCAGAGCCTGTATTGCGTGATCCGTTCACGTGAGACGTCGGGAGTGACAGAGCCAGAGAGAGCAGCAGTGGTGGCCGGGGACGGGGTGGGGAGAGTTTAGTCAGATGCAGTGGGTACAGGGTTTGTTTCGAGGGGATAAAAATGCTGTGGAATTTGGTAGTGGCAATGGTGGCACAGCTCGGTGGATGTGACCAGAACACACCACATTGCAGGTAAGTGGGTGAATGTTGTGCGTGTGAATCATTTCTCAATTTAAAAGACCTGCCAGGGTGATCTATTCTCTCTCTCTTTCTCTCTCTCTCTCTTTTGACAGGCAGAGCTAGACAGAGAGAGAGAGAGACAAAGGTCTTTCTTCTGTTGGATCACCCCCCAAATGGCTGCTACGGCCGAAGCCAGGAGCCAGGTGCTTCCTCCTGGTCTCCCATGCAGGTACAGGGCCCGAGCACTTGGGCCATCCTCCACTGCACTCCCGGGCCACAGCAGAGAGCTGGCCTGGAAGAGGAGCAACTGGGATTAGAACCTGGCACCCATATGGGATGCCGGCACCATAGGCGGAGGATTAGCCTAGTGAGCTGCAGTGCCTGCCCCCTTTTAAATGTTTTTATGAGTAATTCTGTGCCAACAACAGGGAGATGTGTCTGCTTCTAGGGGGGTGTAGGCAGGACACGGGCAGGGCAGGATTCGAAGAGGCTCAGGACCCAAGACGGCTGAGGAGCCGTGCCCCGCCCCCGCCCGCCCGTTGCAGGAGGCGGTCTGCTCACGGCGACCTGGAGGGGCTCGGGTATGCAGAGGACCTGCGTCCAGGAAGCCCCCAGTGTTTGAGGAAACCAGCACGGGGCACAGAGGCACCAGCAGAGAATCTGACGTGGGAGAAAACATGAAATGGTCTGAGAAAGTAGACTTTGGATAAGTGTGAGGCTATTATATCCATGTATAAAGGCAAAGCTAGGAATCGTGGGAATTGTTAAACATGCGAAAGTGTTCGTCGCGGTGGGCATTTAGCCCAGCTGTTGAGACGCACACATTCCAGAGAGCCTGGGTTTGATGCACGGCCCTGGCTTCTGACCACAGCTCCCTGCTAGTGCAGACCCCGGGAGGCAGAGCGGTGACTCCAGGAGCTGGGTTCCTGCCACCTCTGTGAGACCCTGGGCAGGGTTCCTGGCTCCTGGCTTTGACCTTTGCTCAGCCTCAGCCATCGAGAGCCTGGGGGGAGTTGCCCAGAAGGTGCCAGTGCTCTCTCTTTCTCTTTCTCTCTCTCTTTCTCCATCTCTCTGGCACTCAAAAAAAAAAAATCTTTTAAGTGTTAGTTGCTTTCCAATCTAATTTAGCATTTCAGTAACTCTTCCAAAAGCAGGTGAAAGTGATGTATGTAATGTGGCATTTTGCACACATACTCAGTGACAGCTTTTATTCCAAGTTAACCAGTGAAAACCCAGTTGAAGAATGAGATTCTCAGGACACTGGGCGCCCACACTGGGCTGCTGGCTGTAGAGAGAACGCGCACTGGAGGCAGCCAGACGACAAGCCTGCCCTGTCCCCAGCCTGCTGCTTGCTGCCCCAGCCCTTCCCCCAGGTGAAGTCGATCCTACCTGGCCGGGGAGCCCTCAGGCCATCGCTGGCTGTGACCACTTGCAGTGCACAGGAGAGGCTTCCCTGGAGGAAGCCTGGGCGCCTGGGACCCTGGGACCTGCCTTAGCAAGGGCCCCTCCCACCAGCCCGCCAGCATCTGCTGCCAACAGTCTCCTCTCTGGCCCTCAGGATCGAGGGCAGCTGGAGGCCCGGGCCTGGGCCGAGCTCCCCAGAGGGACAGCTCCAGGCCAGAGCTCCCAGGGGAGGAAATGACTGCTTGGGAAGGCCCAAGACATGGGCATGATCCAATCGGGAAACAGCTAAGCAGTGACCCCGGCCTCCTGGGGGCCTCACCCAAGCCACCTCTCTCTCCACAGGCTCTGCTTCTTGGGGCTTTATCATTGTGTGGTGGAGCTTGGGGCAGGGTTGACACATTTCAGCAGGATCTCAAGTTCCCAGTGGCCCTTCTGACAATGGTGCCCAGGTAACATGCACCAGGAGACCACGCACAATCTGCCGTTCTGCCCTGCAGGACCGCTGTGAATCCCTTGTCCCTTGGGGTGACCTTGATACTTCTCTGAAGTCACTTTTCCATATAACTGCAGAGGCGCCCCAAGTAGGACTGACTACCTGCTCGAGCTGAATCATGCACAGCCCCAGATCTGTGCCAGGAGGGTGCAGAGCCACACAAGAACGTGATCCATCTTGGGGGAGCATCCATTTTACTGACAGATTTGAAAGTGTCGTTCACTAAGAACTATCTCCCCTCCACAAGGAACATGTAGAGGGATGAACAGGGCTGGGGGAAGGGCCACACCCCCACAGCTTCTTCCAGTGGAGTCCAAGGGTCCTCCTTTCAGCTCACTCATGACTTGCACAGATAGCTTTGGAAGGCCAGGGTGCTGCCAGGGGCCCTACTGACCCGAACGCCTTGCAGAGAATCCCCGGGCACTTGGCCTGTCCCGTCCTCTGCTGAGTCAAGACCTCGAACTGGGCATGCCGAGCACACGGCAGCATGGGCTTCCTGCCCAGCTCGCACCTGCATGGGGTCCACAGCTGGTCGGTCCCACACACCAGGATGTCAGGGTCCTTGGCCCTCAGAGCGGGCCTTGTCTTCCATTGGCAGGGAGGGGAGGCATCAGATATGGATGCTCTCAGCTCTGCTGCAATGCACATCACTGTAGACTGGGACCTCCCTGCCGTACCAGAACCTGTGCCCCTTGCATATGTGCAACTGTGTTCACTTTGAGCCTCTCCCTCCCTCCCTCCCTCCGTCTCCTCATCTCCCACCCCAGCCTCTGGGAACCATGACTCTAGTCTCAACTTCTATGAGATCAACCTTTCTGGAATCCCCACAGCAGTAACACTGGACAGCATTTGTCTTTCTGGGGTGATCTGCGTGCCAGTCAACTCCACTGGACCTTGCCACGGTGCACATGGATGCAGATAGCACGTGGGACCCAATCCATATGTGCAGCTATGATTTTTGTTGATGAGAAGCATTCACAGAATGCTCAAGAAAATGACAACCGCCAGGCAGCCCAGCTCTCCCCTTCCCTTGCCCCCAGTGTGCCTACAGGAGGGTCACTTTTCTGCAGCAGACAGACGCCAGGGCCAGTGGCTAGGGCTGGCAGGATGCGGCTCATCGGCGGGCAGAACCCAGAGGAGCCTCCTGCGGATGCCCTGCAGGCCTTGGCTCTCCACAGAAGCTGTGGCTGAGGTCCCAGCCTCCTCGGGCTCACCTGCTGGGGCAGCTGCTGGCTCCATGGGGTCCCCACCAGTACTGGCGCTGAGGCAGAGGTGGAGGCCACAGGCCTGGCTCAGGGACTGGGCTGGGATGAGGGCTTCTCGTGCAGCTGCCCAGGTAGGGGGGAGTCAAGCGTGCGGGCTCCATCGGACATTGGCTCTGGGGCCCTGCGGCAGCAGGGGTTGGGAGATGGGAAGGGTAGGCTCACTCTAGCCCTTCCTCCAGCCGGTGTGTGCAGGTGTGCTCCACAGGACAGTGAGGCTGTGACAGGAGGCTGCAGCTGGAGGTGTGCCCTCCTCCCTGGCATGGACCTGCTCGGGGACATGCACTGTGGCAGCCAGCCAGGACCCCACTGCATCGCCACTCCAGTACCTGGCAGCAAGCCCTGACCCGCCAGGTACTCTCGGGCTTCTGCATCCCGGGGAGGACCCAGGGGCTCCATGAGGGTGACCTCATTCCCCTTGGCTTCTTGGCAGGCGCGAAACCACCAGAGAACCCTCGCCAGCTCTGCCATGGGCCTCTCGCAGCCATCCCAGGAGATCCCTCAGGACTGGGTCGATAGGACATGGCAGCACGTAGCTACCGCATAAGACACAGCCCCGCGGCTCCCCCAGGTTCCTCCCGTAGGAGGGGACCACTGCCATCATGAACAGGATCACCCCTAGGCTCCATAAGTCAGCCTTGAAAGTGTTGGTGCCCTCTTGCCAGAACACTTCTAGGGCACAGTACTGTGGGGTTCCGTGAAACCTCCTCACCAGGCAGCCAGTAGTTGAAGCCAAGGTCTTCTATTGGATGTTCAAATGGGAACCCAACAATGGCTTGTTCAGGTCCTTACGCGCCTCGCGGTTCGCATGGCAGGAGTCTTCAGCTGACGGGTCTGGCTGAACAGGGACTTGGCTTCATCCTCCTGTGGGCGTCCTGTCCCATCGTGCGATTCCGGAGATCACCCCTGCATGTGGGCTCCAGCACCAGGAACACGTGCTTGGTCACGCGCCTCACCCTCAGGAGACTCTACAGCATGGCCATTCCTCTCTTCAGCTGCCACGAGCGGGAGGGCTTGCTGTGATTTCCCAGGAGCCATGTCCCAGCCACGGGCTTCCCAGTCACCACATGGGGAACATCGGGCCAAAGCTACCCTGGCCGACGAGGGCAGGACGTGGTACCCGTCCTGAGCGTTACACGATGGGAAGCCTCAGGGCCTTCCCTCCTGGCATCCACCTAACCACTCTCTCTAAACCACTCTCTCTGAACTCTCTCAATGATGCTAGTTAATCAACTACCCTGACTAGGATACCTATAGATCAAACGGATATCAAGGGTACTGACTGCCAGTGTGGCTCTCTACAGCACTAGCGATCCCATATACACTAACAATACTAAGCAGCAGGACTAAGTGCTACCTAAATAAAACGGGAAACTGCAAAGAAAAAAACCCACTCCATAACTACACTAATACTGAGAAATCTAACAGTGCTGTTTAACTAAACATGAGGGGGAAGGGGGAAAAAACCCTGCCCAAAATGGGCAAAAAAAAAAAAAAAAAGTAGGTAGAAAAAAAATGGGAAA